CTGTGCTTTAAGAAACGATCATAGCCCGCCCGGAATCACTGCTCCTGCTGTGAGCGTCAGAACAAAAGCCAAGAATCGCCGATTGGGGGCAACCCTTGCGCTACAGGGAGCGGGGGCACTCTCAAGATGGGACCCATAGGGAGAACTGGAAATTACTGAACGTCCCCTCGCGTGTTGGGAGGGGCAATGTCGATACATCGCAAATCGCAATATACATACACAAACATAAATGTAATATAATTATAACAGAATAAACATATATGTGAATCATACATATCATAGTTCAGAATGCCCCATGACATTACCAGGAGAGGAACAGCTAAGAACAATTAACGAGGGGGAAAACTGGAACCGGAGAACAATCGGTGAAAATTTGGCTCCGTCGGAGAAGAGGGGGCGGCGGCCCTGCCTGGATGGGTGATTCCGCGCTGTGGAACCCGCGCGTGTTCACAATTCCGTATTTATCAATATGAGTCTCGCGGGAAAGGATGGTCTCACGACAAAACATTTCTGACTCCTGTCCAAGACTCGATCTCGGCTCCATCGCCCTCGACGCACAGATCGTGGCTGATGCCAGTCGAGCGTCGATAATGCAGCGACTGCTGCCAGAGGAGCGAACGGATAATTCAAGCCTCGTGAAGTCACGTGAAACTTTTTGCTCTCCGGAGAAGGGATACGAACGCTTATCTGCAACGAAAGCCTCCAGACTCGAGTTCAGATCTCCTTCCGTTATTCTCGTGTTGCATTTAGCTATGTACTTCGAGGAAATGAAATGCGGTCCTGCACCGGGGGACTCGACGTTCTGATAAGTAAACATTCTTCTTTGAAAACGACAATCGCCTGGTTTGACATGCTTTTCTGAAAGTTTCCGAGCCCCGGAGCAACCCCGAGTCGTTTTTCCCTGCTGTCCTGCATTTCCTACCCCTCCTCTGCAGGCTCCGAAACCCGGAAAAAACACCTTTTACATCGAAATCCGGGATATTTTTCTCGGATTTTGATGGAAATGTTTTTTTCCCAAGTTCCGAAGCCCGGAAAGACCCATTCCCACTGATATCCGAGCAAAATATCCCGGATTTCGATGGAAATAGGGTTTTTTCCGGATTTCGGAGCCTGCAAAGGAGGGGTAGGAAATGCAGGACAGCAGAGAAAAACGATTCGGGGTTGCTCCGGGGCTCGGGAACTCTCAGAAAAGCATGTCAAACCAGGTGATTGTCATTTTCAAAAAAGAATGTTTACTTGTCAGCTTGAAAACTTGGTCTGGAGTACCGATATGTGAGGAACGGGGGGTGAGGGGGTTTCCGGACACAATCCGTGGGATCTCCTCACCGCAGATGGAAATTTGATCGCAAAGCAACGGAAGCAATCATTTGTGTCCGCGGCAGACGGGCAAGACTACTTTTCGTTCTCCTGGAACTGACTCCAATGGTCACCATTCCCTTTTTGAGGCGACATAAGCTCATGCTTATGTAAGATACACAACTGTCTTCGTCCAGCGCTTCTAAGGAACGATACCGCAATGCCATTCTCGACATCTATATATATAAAAACGTGTCTCTGTTTGTCCGGGGTACCCTCTAGCAGTGGTTCCCAAACTTTTTCTTCCGGGGGGTTCCGTAAGGGTTCCGCAGGTAGACTTTGGGGTTCCGCGCAATCCGCAATCCGGAACCCTTGGGAAACACTGCCCTATAGACTCGAAAACGGCTGAACCGATCGTCGTGAAAATTCAGTTCTCCGATGCGATGAGACCGTCTACCTTAAGAAAATTATCTGAGTGGTCCACCCACGAAAATACGAAAACTCGGGAGAGAATTGGAAAAAAAGAAAGACGGGAATTTGCAGGATCTTCTACCGGCTGGACCACCATCTTTCTACTAATGAAGCATGCTGAAAATTGCTGTAGCCGTGAAGAGTAAAGATTTTCCGAAGGACATGTGGAATTAAAGCGGGTAAACGGGAAATCGGGGGAACGGGAAGGTTGGGAAATGGGAAGGTGGGGAAAGGGGAAAGTGGGGAAAGGG